GCAGCATTAAGTGTTCTTTGAAGTGCCAGCAAGTCCTCGGATTTTGTCACTGTTTTCCATATTTTTGCATCGTCTGCAAACATAAACGTTTGTGGTCCCAGAACGCCCGTTAGATCGTTTATGAAAACTAGAAAACGTTGAGGGCCAAGCACGGATCCCTNAGGAAGTGACCCAGAACCCCGAACTGCCGTGGTGCGTTGTCAAAGAAACTCTCCAAGCAATCTAGTACAAATCCCCGAATTTCATAATTGTGTAGTTTCCTCAGCAGTATTTTGTGGTTCACTCGATGGAATGCTTTGGAGAAGTCGGGGTACGCGACATCCACTGCATCACCGTGATCCGCTGGTTTTGTCCACTCTTCTCGGGCCAGAAGCAGGCTAGTGGTACACGATCACCTGCGACGAAACCCATGCTGAGCGGGGATAATACGTTGTATTTTTCCAAGTGACTCATCACACTATCGACAACAATGGATTCCACGACTTTAGATAATACGCGGAGGAAGATAACGAGGCGGTATTTAGCTATATCACTAAAACAGTCAACCTTTGTATAGTGGAGAAATTATTCCTTGTTTCCATGTTTGTGGGAGCACAGTTTTGTCGAACATTTGTTGGAATAGTTCACTTATTGGTTGAGCTACGTTACTTGCCAGGTTGATAAGGGTTTGTGCATGGATATTATTTATTCCCGGGGATGAATTCCTTTTCAAACACTGAAGTTTCGGTGTTATGATTTCTGGGGAAAAATCAATTGTGGGTATGGTATATCCTCAAGTAACAAAGGCAGTCGTAGTCCGGCGTTCGCATGTGCGGTGAACACTTGTGCGTGCTGGCCTTTTAACATTTCAGCCGCCTCCTTTGTTGTGACTGAAACACGTCCTGCTAATCTTAGCGCTGGAACGCCAGACTTGACTTGTCTGGTGGCATTTATGTATTTGTACAGCAACTGGGGATGTGATATAAACTTGCGCGTCAGCATTTCCCGATACATTAACTTGTCTTCTCGCGCCAACTTGATGCGGTGGTTTCGAAGTAGACAGTAGTTATACCATGTTTGGTTTCAAGGAAATCGTTTATAAGCTCTCCATGAGATATTCCCCTGCGAGATGCACTTATTTGTTCGACTTCGAATCATCGATTTTTGACCAGTTGAGTAAGTAATGTGTTTGGTATTGGTCACGCCCTTCACCATTTCCATCAAGAGATTCGTAAATTCTTCCCAGGATACCAAGGAATCACACCATTCGTTGGAGAGATCCCATTGGAAGTCCGTCGCCAAAATATTAAGTTAAGTTAGTCAACAAACATAAGAGTTAACAGTTGAAATATGCGGTGCGTATGTATAACAAATGTAGTCAAACGTCAACACAGTATGATCACTACGACCTAATGGAGTTGCAGTGGAAATCGTTTCCACCCTTAGTTCCTCGTTGGCTAACAACAAGTCCAAAACCGATGGTGACCGGTTGGCTCCTTCACAAAATTGCAAATTGGATAGGATTCCATAAGCTGAGCGAGTTTCTTCTTAAACGGTTATAGAGGTTACCGATTTAGATAGATTTGGGCAATTGAAGTGGCCCATAATGGGAACATACGTGAACTTCAGTGACAGAATGTGATGTACAATTTGCAAATAGTGTCTCATTGGCTGAGTCTGCGGATGAGGTAGAGCAGTACACCACACCGGTCAAGCCAATATCGCGTTGCGACAGTCGCACCTTGCACCACAGTGAGTCGGAGGCCGCAGCAGGATAATGAATTACCTCGGATTGTAGTTTGCTGCTAAAGTAGAGTAACACACCACCACCCCTCGTAGGTCAATCGCGTCCGAGCAGAGTCATGCCGGGTTATTCTGAGTCCATAATGTCGGCAGTCAGCCAAGTTTCGGTAACTGCAATAATGTCCCATTGACCAGTTTGGCGAGGAAGTTCCAGTGCTGAAAATTTGCTGAGGAAACCTTGGGAATAAGTATTGAAACAATGCAGTTGGTCGCGGTGCAGAAGTTCATCGGGGTGCGAAGACATAGTTGAGCCGACCGTATCGTGGTCGGCTAAGGGAAGTTTCTGGGAGAAGATTTTGTTGGGTCTAGTCTGCCGGTTGCGGAATATGAAGTTTGTGGGAACCCAGTTTGTATGGAGACGATATTTTCTACCTGAGGAATACTTTTTGGTCCTGGGTTGTGCATCGGAGTATACGCGTAGTGATCGGATGATTCTTTTCACCGAACTAATAAGAAAGTATCTACTACAAGTTTCAAGGCACAGAGAATCGCGACGGAGATGTAATTGTAGGATATGTTGTGGTTTGGAACCAGTATGATGGACAGGATAAAAGAATTCGACCAACATAAAGATCACAATTCAAAGTAACCGCCGACCCAGATTATGTCCAGATTCCCGTGATCAGTCCAGTGACTTTAAACCGATCATGAGGAACAAAATAATCGGTATCGTGTTAATCCGTTGCCCGTTCCGCGAGAAGAGTCGATAACAACCAGATTATTGTGTTGAGAATCTGAGTATGCACGTTTATTAACACACGTGTAGATTATCAATGAGTTTCCGATCAAGGAAACGAACGATAGAAAACATCTGCCCTTTTGTGCACAGCGCGCGCGCGCACACACACACACATACACACACCGGCACAAGAGACAGAGAGAACGGAACTGAAAAGAAAAAAAGGAAGGAAGGAATGGCCAATGTGGTGTATGCACTATCCACATCACAATGAGATTCGGTACGAGCGATTGCTCGATCGTTAGAGGGGCGGGAGGTGGGGAGCGGGGAGAAAAACAATAACTATGGAGAGGGGTGGAAAACATAACAAGAACCAAAACGAGACACTGTATCTGCGATTCGTGTGAATGAAGTGGAGATTGGGGTAATCCTATCACTCTGGTTTCCAACCAATCGTACTCTGTTGGTGTAGTCACATACAAGACATATTCTCAACATGTGGATACGAGACTAACATGGAGTTCGGATAAGCGGCGGGTTGTCCGCGTGCATGATAGCTGGTGGTCACCGCACTGACAAGCTGACTGATGAAATGTTCCACGCTGAGTTCAAAACACCTGCACACGAGGGGGGAGGAGAGGGGAAGCAGAGCAAAACGAAGATGATAGGGAACAAGAAACAAACCGGATGCTGGATTATGCTCATATGGAGGCAAACTTACTTCACATTGCTTGGGTGTAGACCTAGTCGGATTTCTTTCAACAAATCCTCGGTGCAAGCCAATGTTTGACCGAGCATACGATGATCCGATAGATTCTGATAAGAAGAAATCAACGGTTAGTACACACATTGGTCACGATCCAGGAAGAAGCGCGAGGTGAGACCAAACATGTTCGACGTCTATCAAACGTAATTCAAAACACAACGAACATCTAAACAATGTAGCTGCTTATGAGCACGAGATTTTCGGGAGCCAGAATGGTGAACTCCGGATGGTAAATACATACAGCTCAAGCAATGTATGAATATGAACGGGGGGTTCGTATCGCTAGCTTGGAAAATTTCAATGATTTACTACATAACAACACCCATTGAACTGTCACCCTAGATGCTGACCAGTATTTAGTTACCCCAAATTGGTTATCAAGTGATACATGAACTGCGATTGCTCCATCGTTTACCATCGTCTCATCCCTCACCCGTGACCTTAAACAAGTAAACTCCCTCTGACCCTTTATGTGACAAGCTTTATTCGTTGGGCCGTTGAAAACCCAAGACACTTTGCTGGATCAAAATCGCTTCATAGTCCCAAGGTGTTAGTATGGGCTGGTACTGTGCACGGCAAGATTGTCGGGCTGTACTTTTTCAACGGAAACGTAACAGGTAACAAAATTTGCTAATTAAATTGATTGAGGCTCTTCATACTTGCAAAAGCTACAAAATAATGTGGTACCTGCCATCCGGCGTATAGAAACTGAAGTTTGGTTTCAACATAACGGTGCACCACCACATAATGCTCTAGTGATGAGACGTTTCCTCGACTCGGAATTTAACTGCAGATGGATTGACCGAGGAGGACCAAACGAATGGCCATCAAGATCACCTGATCTGTCCCCCTTGGATTTCTTTCTATGGGGGTACCTAAAGCGATCAGTTTATTCCCGAAAACCGAGAACGGTCGAGGAACTTAAACAGAGTATTGTGGCGCAGTGCAAAAGTATTCCAACTGCTGCTATTCTGAAGATGGAAGAAAACTCTCTTCACCGGATTTTGCTATGCAAGCAGTAGAATGAAGAACATATGGAAAAACTTTTATAATATGAATATAATTTTTTCCGTAATACTTGTTCTTTCTTCCTTTCGGAATTCTATCTCCGACGTAGTTAATGAGATCGTTCAACGCGAAAACAACCAGTTGGAAAAAAACAAGAAGAGTTTTGCGTGGGCTTACATTAGAGGATATTGTCATCCGTTATTAAGACAAGTTCAAAGTTATATTATGATTATCTGTTTACCGAACCCGCTTCGAAAAATGGTGCGTGTATCTTAGACGAATCAAGCGTTGGCCCAGTGTCATCATTGCTTAAGCATTTTCCATTCGGAATTCCCCACATGGTGCACCGCTGCACAACTGGTTCTCATGTGGTGATTCTCTACCAATACTTAGACAGCATCGGATTCGGAACCTATCCTCCTCCTGTGCCGGCCCGAAAATCATACGTCCGATCGGGTTCATTTATCGATCGGTCGAATGGTTCAACCGCAGCAAGAGTGCCCANCTTCGAAAAATGGTGCGTGTATCTTAGACGAATCAAGCGTTGGCCCAATGTCATCATCGCTTAAGCATTTTTCATTCGGAATTTCCCACATGGTGCACCGCTCCACAACTGATTCTCATGTGGTGATTCTCTACCAACACTTGGGCAGTATCGGATTCGGAACCTATCCTCCTCCTGTGCCGGCCCGAAAATCACACGTCCGATCGGGTTCATTTATCGATCGGTCGAATGGTTCAGCCACAATAAGGGACCAGCTAACCCGAGCGAGAAGCCACATCTTGTTTACGGCCGTGAGTCTCAGACAGGCCCAATGAACTTCGACTGTGCAGCAGGAGTGCCATCAGCACACGGATGGACTGAACGTAACAACAAGAGTATGACAAAACGTACAAGCCAGTAATCGGACAGTCTCTTGTTGGGGTGGGGGATTTTAAGCGCCGCAGATAGCGGAATATGATTCAATCAGATCACAGAAAGGTTCAGAGGGCATTTACTTGTTTAAGGTCACGGGTGAGAGGGACGAGACGATGGTAAACGATGGAGCAATCGCACTGTACTTTAAATGGTTTCGAAGTCGAAAGTCATTTGTGTCAGGACCGGAGGGTAACCATGCCGATACTGAGGCAACAGGTTTATATGTAAGGTTCTCGCCGTAAACCTCGTTACACACACTGTGGAAACGGCGTTATGTGAGACCGCCACCATCGAGGACACAGAGATAAACTTTGCATTCGTATAATACATTATGCATTTCATTGGAGCAGAGATGAAAATACCACTCGTTTTTTCATTCGAACCAATTAGAAAGGCACTATTATCCAACGTAACATTGAACTTAATAAGTTGTTCACATTCCCTGTCGTATTCCAAATTCCGTATGATATCGTCAATCGTACAAAAGGAGAAAAGGGACGGGATGTATGTCACTTACACCTCATTTTAGACAAAATAGCGGTGCAACTTAATCGTGCCTTGACCGGACACTCATGAACACAACAACAATGCAGCCTAGAAATGAGAAGCGGTGCTAAACCGATTGAGAGAGGGAGGGGAGGAATTCTAGCAACACATCCAAAACTGGAATTTATTAATTCCAGTTAATTAACCCAAACAACCTGCTTCATCAAATTTCGGGTTATAGTAAACACAAAAACATCCTATGCTTCTGATGGCAGGTTTTGGTAACTGCGGTTGAGCATTTACGTCAGTGCTTAACAATCGTTGACTGCGATAGCAGCGGTATGAGTTACGCATCGTACCGGTTAGGCTTACTCGATGTGTGATATTTGTCAAGGTAGGCAGTAGTTGGAACAGCTTTTATGGTGGTTAAACGAGGATCTGGAGTGATGGTACAAAAACCGTGATGAATTAATTCGGTCATATAACTCTTGTTTTTATTATACACATTTGTGTGATTAACAACAGACGGGGAGAGGAGCGAACCCCATAGTCACGAACACCTACTGCTGTTCATTTATGGAAACCGGTAACTTAAGCTTCAGGATTTGGAGTAGCAAATCACATAAGGATATGGAGGGAGGCGGGCTACGGGAGCTTGAGAACCAGCACAGATTGTTTTTGAGCACACAGGAATGAATCGAGCGCTTCCGCTGTGGTAAACATAGGACAGCAAACTTATCTTGATGGTCGACCGCGAACCCCATGCTGGCAATGAAGTGCACCGTTCACATTCACAGCGTAATTTGTTACGAAACAAGTGTGTTGTTCTATTTGCAACATGCCCTGTGGGACGGTCTAGACAACTGGTCTGATTGACGGTTGCAGATATTTCTCAGTGTTGTAAACAGTAGTATCGGTACTTCTCAGTTTCCTGGTATCTTTTCGTTTTTCAAGTCCCGCGTCTTTCGTTTGACAAATCCCGGAAGCCTCCTCCTGGTTACCAAAAAACGGTAACCGAAATTAGAGTAAGTGCGGACTTGATGGTTATACAAGCTGAGACACCGTCATAGATGTAGACTAAGAACAACTACTAACCCATCTGTAGACCCCGAGGAGGGAATTTCTGTAGCGCAGACATCAAACAAAAGTGTGCAGTTCTCTTGCAAATGGAGCAAATGCTGTGTGAAAAAGGCAGGAAACTATCATGTAAACAATGGAGCTTGAACGGCAAAGCTTGCCGTTGTATATCAATGGACGATAAACCCTTAAATACTAAGCACGGAAGAACATGAAAATCATCCAATAATATGATTCAGTATTTCGTTGTGAACCTACTAGGCACTGCGGATGGGCTAACCAAGCCATAATATATTGAAATCATTGATATGATGAATATTCTCCTCATGTTGGCATCTATGGTGATGATCCACCAGATAAAAGTGAAAAAGAACCAACCGTGCAGGGTGAGGGCGAATGCACATCGGAATAGGAAAATTTACAAGTGCTCGTCCGAGGTCACAGAACGTACACATAGGTGAATTAACAATGCGCTCAATTTGGCCACCAGATCAACCTTCGATTCATCCGTCGTTGACCGTTGCTAGACCGAATTGAAAAAGCGAAACCGAAAGTAAATGTGAGGGGAATGAATATCTTATAAATCAATCTGCTGCATGTCACATTTTTGACGCACGAATGAAGCAAACCGAGTAATTGATATCGGACGCATCACACATAAATCTGAATGTGATTGAAGACATACAGAATGTGAATATGCATCATCAATTCTTGCGTGGGCAGGCTATTAGAGCTTTAAGAAACGATTTATTGGTGTGCGGCCCTTGAAGCATCTACTAAAAATGTTCTGTCTATTGCATTCCTGTGGCAACGATGTTTTTTCAACTAAAATTAGGGCACAATAAGCTAATATCCGGGGTTATATCCGAGTCGATAAACCACGAGCACGTGAATCATCTATGGCAGCTTGAAAAGTCTGATTCAAAACACCCCGATCAGGGGCGTGTGAACTGGGTCCACAACCTACGCGTCTCGAGACTCAGCGCCATGACTGTTCATGTATCTGGTACCGCGAGTGAAACAAGCCGTTCGACTCGACGGGCCAGGCAGCGCTCCCAACAGACTGCAGGCTTCACACATTGCCCCGCCGCGTTGCAGATCAGGCTTTGACTAGCAAAAGAATTCCGAGTAAATCACCTGTTTTGGCTTCGGCAATCAGATAGTTTAAACCCGTGAACAAACAATGGACTGAGATCTTTATGATGAAAATTTCTGTACCATGATTTGTTTCACACATGGTATGGATACAGACTAATGATAAATGGAGAGATTTATAGTGAACATCATGTTATGCATAGTCACTGACGGAATACATTGGTTCCCATATGAGTTTTCTTTTCAGTTTCAGTTTAAACAACCATTAAGCATGTATTTTAGTGCAATGCCTCTGGTTGCTGTCTTTTGATTACCCATTTGGGTGAACAATAGGAGAAAAACAGGAAAGTTGAAAGTAGGATCGAAGAGAAAATTGAGTTCAGTGGACTAATGAGGCAGAGAAATTGAGAAAATGCGTTCTAATGTGAAGAAATAGTCGTTGTGTTCTTGACACCACGTGATATAATACGTATTGTGAATAGCATGTTCTCCAAGTCGAGGAAATTACTGTGAGATAAGGGGAATCAATAACTAAAAACCTGGGAGAATTTCTGGAAGCCTGGCATTCATCGGAAAACTCGGTCAACCGACACATTGACATCGATCACGTCTGCACCCCACCAAAAAATCTAAGCTAACGATCTGTAATTTTTAGTTGCTGTTTGTGTCTGCAGTAGTTTAAATGAAAAATCGACTTGACCTATCTGGGGACTTGAATAGCTGGTGAGAAAGAAAGCCGGATGTATCGCTATATATATACTGGCAACAGTTTTAAACGAACCTGAGATTGTTTGATTCGACTGACCATCTCCTGAGCTTCGTCATCACATCGACGTCGCCAATCGGTAATATAGTTCAGATGCATCATATTTTGTTCTTGAGCAAACTGACAACGGCACGGGGTGAGACGAGTACGAAAGAGATGAGTGATGTGTATGCAGAAGCAGACAAACTGAGAATCCACAAAAAAAAGAACACACGCCCAACGCATGGGGTGAACCAAAGCAAAACAAAATGAAACCGGAACGGAGGTGAGACGCATCCGTCACTTTCACCGGTTTGGGAACATCCTGGCAAACCTGTGTGAAACCAGCCGTAGTGGGATCATTGTGGGAGCCCGGAGGAAATGTGGTCTGATGAAATCTGTTCGATATGGATTCTGTTGGGTGATCTGAAATAGGTGCACAAACAGATGGATTTTCCGAGAGGCCGTAACCAGGAGGTGCACCCATCATTCCGTTGGGTAAATGACTCATCATCGAACTGGGGACGAGGGTGATATAACCGAATTCGGACGGAACTCCGCTAACCGGGACGGCCTCAAACACTTCCCCCGTATGAGTAGATACCAAATAAGGAAGCGGGGTTTGGTGCTGAAATCGATTAAATACAAGCTTCAGGGCACCACGTTTGCGGAACATCAAATGAAAAAAAAACAAAGTCAACAGAATCAATCGATCAAGATGGAGGTCCGCTAATAAAGTCATCGTATTCAAAATCCGATGACAACTCACTAAGAAAATCTAGCTGTGTCCAGTGAATAAGATGAAAAAATGTTTATTATCAGCGATCTGTTGAAATTTTACATCTCAATGACCACATAGGTTGTGAAACTGCAACCGAATTGCAGAATAGTGGAAATAGAGAAACCAGTCACCACAAAGTACCTGATGAACGGTGAATCCTTCCCAAGGATTCATCAATTAAGATACGGTGGTTCACACGAGCAACGTGTAAGACTAATGGAAAACAATAAACTATACGAATAAACGCAGCTTTTAATCTCCGTTAGAGAAGGGTGAGAATACTTGGACCGATGAGTGAATGAATCTAGGTTCCACCACATTTTCGACTAGTTCTAAAGCTTTTAGATAGCTCTTAGCATATACACTACATGCTACTGGTGATTAGTCGGTGTCTAATAGCGAGCTTGGTTCGGTGCAAGGTGACCGTTGACCAAGACTACCCGGAGAGTTAAACGCAGTGTTGGGAATATGCACCGGTGTCGCTTCTAACATGTGAGGGAAAAATCCTTGTGCATGATTACACTACTCATGAGTAGATCAACAACAAAAGCAGAACTTACAGCTCTGAGAGTCTAAATTTCAGGCCCCTGTATATTGATCGATCGTGTACGGGAAAAGAACAACCGCCACAACGATGAACGCCTCCACCACGATTATCCAAAGTTTCAGCGCAGCGCCCAACTATTTCGAAATGGATGCTACTTACAAATACTTAAAACGAGCGTCGCGGGCAGGATTCGAACCTGCGCGGGGGAACCCCATTGGATTTCGAGTCCAACGCCTTAACCACTCGGCCACCACGACACAGGTGAGGTGCCTTTCATCCATTTCATAAAGATTGGCCATTTCCAATGCATTCATACTCACATGATGGTTTTGTTGGTGCGATCATTCGAACTACATTTCCGCCCCGTTAGACAAGAAAAACGGGTTTGGCGACGCTCTTTGTATCTTTGGGGATTATGTTGTATTCGGCACCTTGGACGTTTGAACACACATCTGGGTATGTCGAAATTGACATATCCCAACGTTGTCAATGAACTTGCAGGAGGGAGCCCTTTTAGGCAAGATACCCCGGGTAAATCAACCATAAGCATTAATTTACTTGCTGCTAATGAAACCAACCAAAGCATTCGTGAGAATATTACCACAACTGATAGGGATTTCAATCTGTAAAAAAATTAGGATAGCCTTTTTCTTTTGGGGAACAGAAAAATAAATTGGGAAGAATGCGATTGATTACAAATTTAGGGATTTTATTTGGAGTGACAACAATCGTTACAAGTCTGAAAACGTAAAAGAGTAATCGCCAAGTTCTAATATGAACATGAATAGATCAAGAAAGCTTAAGGCCGTGGTGCTTCACTGTTACCTTTGGGAATGCTGTGATTGGTGACCACGATCTGGTTGTACGAAACTTCGGGAAGATGGAAACAATAAGCACCAAACTCTTCTATATAGAACAACGAGGCAGAGAAGAATGAGCAGTAGGATATTTATCCATTGAATAAATCCAGGAGAAATAAATACTCGGAGAGTAATCGATTGGTATTTATGTACTGGATCCTTTATTGTAATAAACACTACAGATCACATGGTGTTCAACAGGTAATGTGTGTGTATCATACAGTGGGACCAAAGGTCGTTTGAACGACGATAAGAAAACAGACTTACCGAGGCTACGTGCATGAGTACAACATCCATGTGACTTTTCAGTTCCTGGTTTAATTTGTCCAAATGTAATATCAACATCGCATAGGTGTGTTGGAATTGTACTGTGATGTTGTTTGGATTTTCAGCCAACTAGATTGGATTACAATGATGAGTGAGATAAGTAGATCGCAAAACCATTGTTCGAATAAGTGCAGTGCATTGCATGGTTAAGTCAGCGAATAAATAAAATGAGAAAACTCTGAAAGTATTTGCAATAAATATTGGGTACATGATCCTAGCAAGTTAACGTGTCGCACGATTCACCATTCGACGTGAGCCGCCGGTTCTATGCTACAGATAAATTAATCGTAAAACAGAAATCTACAGCGCAAAATACTTTCGTTTACGAATGATATTATCTTGTTGGAATTGGGTTGTCGCTTTACAATCGTTCGAGCAGTAATAACGACAGATCGGACAACACTTAACGCGGTGTACCGCAGCTTCACCTGTATCAAGAATCATGTTGCTACGCGATTCGTATATATGGTACTTTGCTAGTCTTTGATCGAATATACGCACCCCGAAGTCAATAGCAATATCAGAAGATAGTCGGAACGTCTCGGACTCTTGTCTTTGGTGGTTCTTTAATGGTAAAGCAATATGTAAGCATGGTATGGTAGACAACAAGGTTGAAATCGAAAGGAAACGTACATTCAAAGTAGTTTGACCAGCAGTTCAACAAAGAGCACCAATGTGTGGTGACCAGAGTAAAACAGTGGGCAAACCAAGATGGCCGGCCGCCAAGACAAAAATAGATTACAGTCAACCAACAGAAAAGAAGGAAGCAGGGAAGATGGTCCGAATAGAGTTAGACTACTGGCAACAGTCAATAGCAGCAATGGAACAATTAAACATGCACAGAAAGACACAAATCATAAGCGACCCGGATAGAACTCGAACTCGGGTTTCGGGGGGTTCGGTAATCGGTCGAGCTAACCCCTTAGATCATCCGAGCGGTACATTCTAACTACCGATTTCATGAAGAAAACTTTCAAAAGCCGTTACGGTCACTGCGCTCGGCAACAGAAATCAATTAGTAATCTGATTGAATTATCGAAAGCACTGGTCGTTATCCCCACTGTTCATTGTCTATCCCTATGGTACCCAATTTAGAATCAAGTTAAAAATATCAGCACTTTACAAAGAGCTTTCAGTAAAAATTCAATAAAATATCGTAAATCTGCAGGTCTAAAAACAGAACAGCTGCACACAGAGAGATGTGTTGCATTGCACCGGTAATTATCGGTACGCTCAAGCCAAGCTAGTGTTCGATAGATTGAGACGATTTGATGAACACGGATCATGTTTCCTAGAGGAGTTTTGCCAACTTCCTTGGGAATAATCGGGTTTTGTTTTGTTTTGTTCACACAATGAAAACTGAGCTAAATAGCAATAGCCCTCTGGTCCGAGTAAGAGCATGATCGGGACTATTCCACGTTCTACATCTAACCAAAGTACCACCCGTTCCGTTGTCCCAAAAGGCAGACAGCCACGTTTCTTATTCATATTCTAGCACTGATTATATCACTATAGCATAGACAGCCTTTTGTGAATAGAAGGAAGTCGAAGTTGAAAAAGTACCAGTAATTTATCTCCACCACGACAGTTACCTCAGTCTAGATGGCGACATTGCCTATGGATTCAGTGAATTCCATTAAAAAAGAGACCTACAGGGAGAATAGCTCAACTTTGCAATGGAGTATTTGACCGTAAGCAACGCACACCATTGAGTTAGTCTATGAATAACCTCGTGATTATATGTATTATCGGTTCAGGTATGGAGATCGATGACCTAAGTCCTTGGATAGAGTCGTGTTGTGACAATAAGTCACTGTATCTTGTCCCGAAATAATTTTTCAAACGATTATTAGTCCGAAGGTAATTACAGCAGTGAGAGCGTTCATTGATAGAGCCAGAAAACTGTTAGAATAATGCAGAATGCACCATGTTGAGATGCAGCGAAATCGCCCTAGACATAAATCGTGCGGTATTGCAATATTGTCCTTTCTTTTGAAAACACGAACAGCTTTTGTTGTTCCAAAAATGTAAAACACGAGAACACCGACAAAGCGAGCAGACTAATCGGACAGCACGATTCTGTTTGTCACCATACTTTTAACCCATCCAGTAACAATAAGAAAACAACGGCAATTTTACTTATCCACATTCAATGTTCGAACAATACTAGGTCCGCCGGGAGGCCACCTAAGCTCGAATTCTGAAAACTTTTAAGGTAGATAGATGCATGCTGTGTTTCCGAAACGGGCACCCCACATTAATTATCACACTGCGCTTTTCAGAATGAACCCCATCCTCACGATTGACTCGCCATGTGAGGCGATTTTCGGTCTGGTGCTCGCGGTGGTCCGGCGTCAAGATTCAGTGGACTCTTTGGAGGTTGATGTCTGCTGCGTGTCGGAGACTCGAATCCAGGATCCTAGTACTATATGCCACTTAAGTGCATTGGGGTTGTCTTCGAGGTTCTTCCTCCGCACGTCAGGTGATGATGAAGCCCGTTCAGTAGGCGTTAGCTGCACTACTGGATTGGATCCCCGTAAACAGCCGCTTATGTGCGATGCGGCTCCAAGGGTCTATCAGCGTCCGGAAGGGGAGCAACACCAAAAGGTGTTCATTCATCATTTCAGTGTATGCACCGACCAACTGCAGTTCTAACGCACAAAAGGACGAGTTTTATGATAAACTCACCGAACTCATTCGGTTGAGCCGAAGCTCTGATATAGCTGTTCTTGCAGGTGATTTTAACGCTCAAGTTGGAAAACTGAGCGCATCGGAAGCTTGCCTAGACTGTCATTGTGCTCTGCCCTGCCAGCGAACAGATAATGGCGGTCGACTTCTTCAGTTCTGCGCAGGTCATCATCTGTTCCTATCTAGCACCAACTTCCGACACAGCTTTCAACGGACAGCAATGTGGCGCTCAAATTCAGCTGGCACGCTAACTCAGAACGACCACATAGCAGTAAGCTACCGTTGGCGTGGCTCAGTACTAAATTGTAGATCCTATTGGACCACCTGCGTTGAATCTGATCATGCGTTAGTCTGGATGCAGTTCACTCTCCAACTCACTGGTCGCAGAAAATTCCACCAAACTCGATTGGCAGATCATCGCTTATACGACCCAGCCGTTCGTGCCCGTTCTGAATCAGAACTAGGCAAGAGCT